AAAAACATAAAAATAATCTACTTTTCAATAACAATCTTTATTGGGTTTTCACATACAACTGGATTTATTACAGTTCTTGGATAAAGAAACAAATGTGGTGCTTATTTACTAAACAGTCACGCTTTGGCAAGAGCCCATATTCATACTTCCCAATGGTCCCTATTTAGGTTGAACAGCTCTTATTTTGGGCCCAAATCCCCTGTCCCTCTTTCTGTCCTAATGTCCCTCTTTTCTAGGAACTCCATATTGTTGGTGTGTCTGAGTGTATTACAGAGCTCCACAGCAATAATACTCACAGTGATGTGTCTTTAAACTACAACAAATGTGATCTGATATCAGTCTGTGAAAAAGTAAATAAGGTAAATTTTCTCATTCTAAATTATATTTTTGTTGCATACAAGTTTGTTGTTGTAAAAGTCACCTAAAATTTATCAGAACATCCCCGCCCCTGGCCACACCCCCACTTACAACCCTAAAATTAAAGGGTCCCTCTTTGAACATTTCAGATGTTGGGAGGTAAGCATATTGAATGAGTAATGGTGTAATATTTGGAGAACGTTACATAGGTGACAGAAGATGGAAATGGAAGGATTTGATAACAGAAAATTTCTAGCATTTTTTTTAATGCGGAGAAAGGTGTCTTACAGTGGATGCAATAACATTATATAACAGGACCAGCACAAATTGCTTGCAAGATGAGGTATAAGAGGTCATCCATTGAGGAATGGAGAATTTCAACTAGAACTAACTTTTTCTTTAAAGGGACACTATAGTTAGCAAAACAACTTTAGTTTAATGAAGCCTTTTTAAAGCAGTTTCCCTGCTCAATTCTCTGCCATTTATGAGGTAAATCACTTTGTTTATGCAGCCTACTCATGCCTTCCTGCATTTGACTTGCACAGCCTTCCTAAACAATTCATGTAAAGAGTCATCTAATGTTTATACTTCCTTTATTGCAAATTCTGTTTAATTTGAATTTCTTATCTCCTGCTCTGTTAATAGCTTGCTAGAGCCTGCAGGAGCCTCCTGTGTGTAATTAAAGTTCAGTTTACAAAGCAGGAGATAAAAACGTTTATAGTAAGTTACATCTGATTGAAAATGAATTAATTTTGTTTTCATGCAGGTGGTGTCAGTCACAGCCAGGGGAGGTGTGACTAGAGCTGCATTAACAGAAACAAAAGTGATTTAACTAAATGGCAGTGAATTGAACAGTGACACTTTATAGGCATGATCTGTACACAACAACTGTCTCATTAAGCTAAAGTTGTTTTGGTGACTATAGTGTCCCTTTAAAGACACATAGTTGAATCTGACAGCACAGCAAATGAGCAGGGATGTTTGTGTTTACCCACACAAAACATGGTGTCAGAAACAGGGCTGCCATCAGAAATTTTTGGGGCCCCTAGGACCTGTCCCTGAGTCTGCCCACAGTACCTGCCCCTGGGTCCACCCAGAGAGCCAATCCTGAGCATACCCAGTGTGAGTTTGTATAGTGGATGTATTGTGTGTATAGTGAATGCAGAGCGTGTTTGTATAGTGGATGTAGTGACTGTATGGTGAATGCAGAGTTTGTGTTTGTGTAGTGGATGTAGTGACTGTATGGTGACTGCAGAGTTTGTGTTTATGTAGTGGATGTAGTGACTGGCAACATTTCATTCTTTGTGTGTTATTTGTTTAAGCAGACTGTGATTGTCTATTGTTGTGACTTAGATGATGATCAGATCACATTTTATGACCAATTTGTGCAGAAATCCATATAATTCCAAAGGGTTCACATACGTTTTCTTGCAACTGTATATACATATATACACTGACACCCACCGACATGCATGCACAGATGCATACACTGACACACACAAACATTGATACACATGCGCACACACACACATATATATATATATATATATATATATATATACAATATCTCACAAAAGTGAGTACACCCCTCACATGTGTGTTAATATTTTATTATATCTATTCATGTGACAACACTGAAGAAATGACACTCTGCTGGAATGTAAAGTAGTAAGTTTACAGCCTGTATAACAGTGTAAGTTTGCTGTCCTCTCAAAATAACTCAACACACAGGCATTAATGTCTAAACCGTTGGCAACAAGTGAGTACACCCCTAAGTGGAAATGTCCAAATTGTGCCCAAAGTGTCAATATTTTGTGTGGCCAACATTATTTTCCAGCACTGCCTTAACCCCCATGGGCATGGAGTTCACCAGAGCTTCACAGGTTGCCACTGGAGTCTTCTTCCACTCCTCCATGACAACATCACGGAACTGGTGGATGTTAGAGACCTTGCGCTCCCCCACCTTTCGTTTGAGGATGCCCCGCAGATGCTCAGTAGGGTTTAGGTCTGGAGACATGCTTGGCCAGTCCATCACCTTTACTTTAGCAGGGCAGTGGTCGTCTTGGAGGTGTGTTTGGGGTCGTTATCATGTTGGAATACTGCCCTGCGGCCCAGTGTCCAAAGGGAGGGGATCATGCTCTGCTTCAGTATGTCACAGTAAATGTTGGGATTCATGTGCCGGCAGCACTCATGCAGGCTCATACCATGACATTCCCACCACCATGCTTGACTGTAGGCCACACACACCTGTCTTTGTACTCCTCACCTGGTTGCCGCCACACACTCTTGACACCATCTGAACCAAATAAGTTTATCTTAGTTTCATTGGACAACAGGACATGGCTCCAGTAATCCATGTCCTTAGTCTGCTTGCCTTCAGAAAACTGTTTGCGGGCGTTCTTGTGCATCATCTTTAGAAGAGGCTTCTTTCTGGGACAACAAGCATGCAGACCAATTTGATGCAGTGTGCGGCGTATGCTCTGAGCACTGACAGGCTAACCCCCCACCCCTATTGTTGTGGACAGAATATTAACGCTATTACATTTTTGTAAAATACCTATTTACTCTGCATAGCTATAACCAATATTAATCATAAACTAAAGATGGCCGCTGGGGAGTTTCCCCTGTCATCGACTAACACCTTCGTGGCGAAACCGACCTCGCCACTGGGCATTGGAGAAGACTGATTGCCAGCCTCCTGCCATGTGACTATGGCCCCTGGGATGTATTGCCCTTTAAAGACATGATTTGGGCATAATGGATTTGTGTTGTGCTGCTGCTGGCCCTTTAAGAACCATCTGGGGACATACTGTGGAGTTACTGGGTGGCCACCATTTCATGTATCAGAGGCACATGGTGAGCACAATGAATGAAGCACATGGTGAGAACAATGGATGACGGCCATTTTAACTCACAGACACTGTCTGGACTTTTCTACACGGTGCCATCTCGCCGGTATTTGGTGCACAAAGACATCGTGCAGTAGTTTTAAACTATACAACAGGGGACACATTATACAGTAATTATTTTTCATATAGCCTATATATGTTCTGCGGAATCTGCATTAAACTGTATCTTCCAAACCACTGAACGGATCTGGGTGAATTTTGGATATGTGGTTCACCCTGACCCCCGGTTCCGAGGAATGGCGTTATTGCATGTTTTGGGGTCCCGGTGATATGTTTTATAAAACTGTATTTCTCTGCCTGTGATAATTATATTAACCATTGTGTTCAGTATTTATATCACAGGCAGAGGGGAGGATTTTGTGTGGGAGTGTCTCTGTATATTGTATGGATTGATTGGTTATATTTCAAAGCCCTGTGGGCGGTGCTATGTTTGTGGATTGTGAATAAAAGAGGCTGTATGTCCCAGTACAGTCAGTTCTGCTTGACCTCAAAACGAAGTGTCGTCTCGTTATTGGGGGAATTGGATTGTATGCTGATTGCCAGGAGTGTAAGCTGATTGTATGCTTTTCCTGTTCAGCTGTTTACAGCATTCATATGCTTGAGAGCATTCGTATGCTTCTCTGGTTCGGTGGTTGTTGTGTCTGCTGCAGTGCTTGGAGTCCTCAGGAAGCGCTAGAAGCATCCATCAACGGAGGTACCCAGTCTGGGTGCCAGGAGATCCATTACAACCTTCAACTAACAAGATGGCGCTGGAATCTGGAGGAGAGTTCCATGACGTCAGCGACGTCACCCCGGGTAGGATGAGCAATTGATGAACCACTTAACACCTAACCAATTATTGACGTATTTTCTTCTGTTATCTATAATTATGCATATGATGTATTACTGCTTTATAAGGGCCTACCAGCCCCCGGAATAAACATTCCTGACTTTTTCATTAACCTAGAAACTTGTGTCTGGTGTGAATTACTCAGGAAGGCGTGCACGCACTATCAAATTGCTTTGAAAAGGGGCAGATACACAAATTTATCAAACCTTTGTTTTGATCCACAACACCTTCAACCTCTGAAGCAATGCTGGCAGTACTCATATGTCTATTTCCCAAAGAAAACCTCTGGATATGGCACTGAACACATTCACTAAACTTCTTTGGTCGACCATGGTGAGGCCTGTTCTGGGTGGAATCTGTCCCGTGAAACAGCTGTATGACCTTGCCCACCGTTCTGCAGCTCAATTTTAGGGTCTTGGCAATCTTCTTATAGCCTAGGCCATCTTTATGTGGAGCAACAATTATTTTTTTTAAGACCCCCAGTTCTTTGTCATGAGGTGCCATGTTGAACGTCCAGTGACCAGTATGACAGAGAGTGAGAGCGATAACACCAATTTTAACACACCTGCTCCCCATTCACACATGAGACCTTGTAACACTGAGTCATATGACACCGGGGTGGGAAAATGGCTAATTTGGCCCAATGTGGACATTTCCACTTAGGGGTGTATTCACATTTGTTGGCAACGGTTTAGACATTAATGGCTGTGTGTCGAGTTATTTTGAGGGGAGAGCAAATTTACACTGTTATACAGGCTGTACACTTACTACATTGTAGCAGAGTGTCATTTCTTCAGTGTTATCACCTGAAAAGATGTAATACATTTTACAAAAATGTGAGGGGTGTACTCACTTTTGTGAGATAGATATAGATATATATATATATAGAGTGTGAGTGCATGTGTATCATTGTTTGTGTGTGTCAGTGTATGCATCTGTGCATCCATCTATCTATCTATATATATATATATATATATATATATATATATATATATACACTCTGATGCCCAGAGCCAGAGTTACACATGCACAGATACATATACTGACACACACAAAAACTGACACACATGCACAGATACATATACTGACACACACAAATACTGACATACTTACTCTCTCTCTCTCAGTCCAACCCTGTTGTTTCATATTCCCTGGTGGTCCAGTGCTGCTGTCATGGATTCTCTAGTGGTCTGGTGGTGTGTGTGTGACACTCTGCACCCCCATGCTGGAATCCTCTATAATTTTCTCTCCCTCACGCTTACAGCGCTCAGTATTGAGTCTGAGCACAGCCAAGGGGATTCCAAGCCTGCGCTCTGACTCACTTACTGAGCGCCAGAGCCTTGAGGGAAACCATATGATTTTAGCAGAGCATCAAATACAGCAAAGGACCACCACGAAATCCATGAGAGCTGCACCGGACCGCCAGGGATTCATAGAGGAGTGGAATCTGGTGCTAGATTCCATGCAGGGCAGCAGCAGGCTTTACTTTGGCTTGGCAGTGATTATGATGCTTGGAGTGTTCCTTTAAGGATTCCTAACATAATTTAAATTTTTAACTCTAATTATCTGTACCTTGTTTCAGACCCATACCTCTTCCTAACTTGTTTTCACTCTCTCTTAACCTAACTAGGATATTTAATGCTACCTTTTGGATCAACAGCAAAAAACAAATGTGAGGAAGGCTGAACTTGATGGATGCAAGTCTCTTTTCAGCTATGTAACCATGTAAGATCTTTTGTACTGCATTTTTTTTAAACCACTGCTGACAAATGGTGGCTGACAAACTTCTATTACTGCTTGAGAGGAGATTTGTATAAGTGGGAAAGTATCCCTTGTTAGCCATTCTCTATGTGTTACACGATGCTACTTAACAACGGTCTCTATGCCGAATCCAAAATTGCCCTCCAGTGGGAATCTAATTTACAATGTGATATTACCCCGAAACATTAGGAACGCCTTAATACCAACATTAGAGGGCTTATCAGATCATCCCTGCATATGGAGCAACATCACTTACTGCTTTACAGCAGGTATATGGCGCCAACCAGGTTACATACGTTTTTTTTCTCATAAGTCCCTAATGTGTTGGAGATGCAGGCTCGCAGAGGGTAACCTACTCCACACATGGTGGCAATGTGAGATCCTTCTACTATAATGAATATCTGTCCATATGATAATTTTGGAAACTATGGGTTGTACTCTCCCTTTTCAACCACTCACGTATCTTTTAACTGATTTGCCAGATGGGATTTCATATTTTTTACTACTATGTAACTATGTACCTTGCTTTTTTAACCTAGTATTTTTGTATTCCCCCTCATACATATTTTCCCTTTTTCAAGATTTGTCTGATCCTTGAAGTGACAATAGTGTATTTGTTGATACAAAGCAGTGACTTTGCCAAATGTCCTGTTGCAGATAGAGAGCGATATCTGTGTTCTGTTACTTCTCATTATTCTCCATATGTTTGTGTGCCTTGCACATTACCCATACGAATACAATGTACATAACTACAATACACTGGTAGGGCTATACTGTAACATCTTTATCAGGAATCTTTATCAGGCACAGAAAAGGAAAGACTTCTGTTTAACATCACTTGTATGTGTATATTTACTGTTACCGCGTAACAGATTTAGAAGGATCTCTGTGTAGCAAGTTAAGATAATGACTTGAGTTTGATGATTACTGTAGTATTGAATAAAGAGGGCTCTATATATCTGACAAATCAATCTGTTTTATGCCTATATATATATGTCCAAAAAGCGCATGCTTTTTCTCCATCCCATGATTTACTGTCTTCAATACGCATGGCAACACGCAGACACATGCACACACCTGTAAAAAATACATACGGGTTTTTTCAATTACAGGTACTTTTTTATTGATTTCCCACAGAATGACAGATAAAATATAGGATAAGGTAACAAATGTAACACATTATAATATATATATATTTTTTCTAAATACAACATACACAAAGTGCTAATTTACTGTATAGTATTGTATTGTATTTATTGTATTTTATTGGCAATTCAAAAACAAATATTACTATTTAGGCCTTAAAAAAATAGCCAAACTTTAATTCTTGGGCCTGCTGCAGAGATCAGGAGATTTTCAAACTGGCTGTACATCATTACGTTATAGTTCCGGGCTCCCTGTAGCTTGGAATGCCATATTGTCTAATGCATTCTTCTGTGTGCCTCCTTTAGTGTAACCAGACAGGCTTGTGCTGGGGGTCTCCAGGCTTGATTGTTCCTCTGTCAATCCTCCTAGTGGGTGTGAAACCTCTTTATTAGTTCCAGTTTCTGTTGGTTTGTCTGTGCGTGAGAGTAGGGTTATGACCTTATATCCTGGTCCTCTACTCACAGAACCGTTTCTGTATGCCAGAAAAAGTGAATTGTGTTCGCAGAGGATAAATGATGATTACTAGCAAATCCACAGGACTCCAGAACAGACAGATACATGAGTGGAGGGACATTCCTCACAAATACACCCCTGCATTCACACATGACACTTCACACAAATTCACCTATTTGTTCACACATGACCACTTTACACAAATAGATCCCTGCATTCACACATTAACACACAACATAAATACAAACCTGTATTCACACATGTATGTATGCTAACAACAACACTGTGCTTTCTCATACACTTAAACTAAATACAAAAAAGCCCTTGCATTAACAAACGCAGACAATACATAGAAACTAATTTATGCATCCGGACATTACACACAATCACACATTTGCATATGTGAACAATCACACTAAATACAAATGCACTTATCAGTTTTCACATCCTTTCCGAATCTATGTTGCAATACATAGTGTTGCAATACCTGTGCTACACAGCAATGCATTTTTCCACTTTGAAAATGCACACACTCAACTATACATTCACACACATGCCTTCACATTGTACACACACACAAACATACAATAACACATTCACTAAACTAACAGTAGTAAAGCATTGATAAGGGAATGATACATTTTACGCAGTAATAACTGGGGAAATTCTCATACCAGCTATTTATTTATCTTGGCAATTATTTGATAATTTGCCATGTTTTTTTAAAATTCACATTTTACTTAAATACCCCTGTATCTATGCATGTATGTAGGGGCCATCAAGGGGCCAATGACCTGGACGCCCAGATTGCAGATCAGATTGATATTTTCAATAAGCATATTATCTTCTAATATTACATATATTACATATACATTAGACTTTAATTGGTGCATAAATCTTGTGTAAGTATCTAATAAAATAATATTTCGCAGCGGCCTTTTATCATTTTGTAAATATCATGCAAGACTAGTTTTCATGGTGAACAATCTAAAGATCTATTCTAAGCTTCAGCCATGACACAAAGTCAATAGGCAGCAAACATATGCAATGATAGTTTACAAGCGGCAGTAGTTCAACTGCAGGAGAACATCCCATTAGTCATCTATAAATGACTAAACATGCGCTGTTGACATCGTGCATGGTTTATTTTCTGACAAGTGTACTGAAACAAGGACTGAATATTGATATTACCCATGTGTTAGGAAATATAGGGCCCTTATATAGACATAGCATTCAATGATCTATGTAGATTGCCTTGAGAACAAAAAATGGATTAGTTTGTGTACAATTTTCCTTTCTAAAAATAGCTATTTCAGTGAGGAGTTTGTTGAAATCATTCCAATAAAATTTCTTGGACGTCCTCAATGAATCATTTCTATAGTGTGAAAAAGTACTTGGTGATTACTATAATTATGGAAAAGTACCCAATTAATATTTATAATACATTTAATTCCATGTTTGTTTTATATTTTGGTTAGAGAATGCACAGTTTATTTCTTTTCTTTTCTTTGTGGTTAACTAGTTCTGTCTTACTCTTAGATTTTACTGTGTTTCTGCTAATCTGATCTAGAACCCGTTGTTTCTTGTACCAGTAAAGTTGAATCCTCTAATTTTTACCCTGCATTCATTTGAATCCTCATAACGTTATTTCAGCAAGCAACAAACCACTACATGTTTACTATTCTGAATTTCCATTCACACTGCAGACCCAGACAATAAAATACTCTTTTTATTAGAAAACAAATAAAAATGTTCAGTGCTGAAAGTGGAGTCAATTCAGCCATTAAGCTAACCTGGCAACGTTTTAATCCATGGGAGGTCTTTGTCAAGTCTGTGCACTTGTTCCGATCTTAAGAAGCGGATAGGTCAACAGATAGCGTCAATGACAAAGTATGGGGAAAAAAAGCCTTTGTCACACATATTGTATAGACTGTGCACAGGGAGAAGACGATGAGTTGGAAACCTACATAATACATTTTATAGTGACTTTAAAGAAACGTAGGCTTTTAACATGCACTGTTGTCCCTTCCTGCTCTCATCAATGATCATACCAAGGTACACTGAAGAAAGCCATCCAGTTGATCGGAGGGTGTATTGATGATTACAGTTAGGCAGTTACAGAAAAATGGAGTAGGGCTGTGCCAAAAAATAACGTAAAATAGTCCCAAAAGTCTCACTAGAACAACAAAAGATTGTCAAGAGTACTGGATAAAATCTAGATGAGTAGAATCTTCAGTAGGTATAGGTGCGTTTGAATGTCTCAGAGTATTCCTTTATATGGAAGAAAAAGCAGACAGAGGCAACCAATAGTGTAATAAGTCTTAAATCCAGAGTGCAATATAGTAATAGGAGGTAGAAAACTCACATTTAAAAGAGCTCTGGTGTGAAGGACGTACAGCTGTATAATCCCCGCTTATGGGCTATGTGAAGAAAGTGCATCTATCAGCACCGGCTGGTCATCCAAGGCTCAGAGGGGAAATAAAAAAGGCAACAATAGTGCTCTCAATTATGATAAAGAAGAAATAAAAAAAAAAATAATACTCACAAGTATAGCGCAGGAACACTGCTCTATTAATAAAGCGCTGGATTTCTTTGAGTAAAGGAACAGATAAAAAATAAAATATAATATAAAATATAAAAAGCCAGTAAGAGTAAAAATAACAGAAGTGCATAAAAGTACAAAAAAAGAGGATTGGCACAGCA